TAAGGAATATATGGTGAGGTTATTAAAAATTATTCTGTGAAGGTCTTTCTTTATTTTTACATGTGTACAATACAGTATAAAATAGAAGTTATTATATTGCAATGGCCATATTAGAAAGTGAAAAGAAAACAGCAAATATACCTGGCTGTGGGTTCAATGTAGAAATCTTCCTCAAAGTCAATTTGGACAGCTTCTCCATTGGGTACGGTTATCACCCATGTACAGTCAATGTTCTGGGGGTAATTCTGTGGATAGTTTGGTGATGTGATGTAGCCGGGTGGGTCATTATCCGTCAGCGTGATGGAGCCTCCGCATGCTGTGGGAAAATTACTTAGGTCACAAGAAAAATAAGAAAATGCAATCCATCTGTTATACACCAAAACCAGGAGACACCAGTTCTATTTCGCCAAAGTATTTTGAGGTAATAATTAATACTCTGGTCATACCAAGCTAGCAAATTTCAAATATCTAACAATAGCAAAAATAAACAAACAAAAAATATTATTCTAAGCTTACTTTGATATTTTTTGTGGTATTTTTCAAAGGAAGAAAAATCTTTCTGAACACAAATTGTGTTGCAATGTTTCTGAGCTCTGGTCCTCAGGAAAAACTGGCCTGCATGTTATAGATGTGTCTCTGTTCCAGATCACCTGATTCAAATGATTGCATGATCTCCTCTGCATGTCATCAAATGCTGCAGGAGCCTGTTAATCACCCACTGATTCCAGTCAGGCGTGTGGCAGAAGGGAAACACCTAGATGTGACGCTGTTTTCACTGGTCTGACTGGTGTTTTATTTAGTAACCAGTTTGTACTTTAATGTGATCAGAACTAGGGACAGCATTGTCATGAACTGGGTGAATGAAACAGAAGAGTTAGTTATACTTGTATTTATTTCTAATAATAATGAAAATGATAATGATAATTCAACAACAACAAAAATAAATAAATAAATCGGTTCAAAAGACATAATAGAAAAAAAATAATGACACTTCAGAGAAATAACAGGTCTCCTGAGTTGAGTCTAAAGGTGAGGGGAGATTATTGGGGTTTTTTCCTACAGTGTTCCTGTGAGTTTGGTTCACTTTCTAACGGCTACGTGGTATGTGGAAAAAAACGTTGACCGTCAAGTAGTAAATTGTTTAAGAAGACTGATGCCCTGCGACAGACTGGCGACCTGTCCAGGGTGACCCCACCTCTCGCCTGGAACGTTAGCTGGAGAGGCACCA